CGGATACCTGTGGACGGGACCTGACTGGAATCTTGGGTGCATGCGAGAGTACATCCCGCGAGAATCATTCAAAACGTGCGATTGGTAGAAGAGTGCCGTTGTACAGCTTCCCCAGTTGTTCGAAAGGTGGATAATTCACTATCCGGTAAGTGTTAACAAAACAAACCACGCTGTCCACTGGATAATGATAGAGTTATCCACCTTTCGAACAATTCGGACCTGTATATTAAAAAGGCTTACTTCATAAGAAACTTGGAAATTGACTTTTTTTAGTTTTTAGTCATGCAAATGAAAAGATCTTACCTCTGAGATCATACTTTATTTAAGCAATAGACCACACTTTCTATGGGTTTATAGGGGTAATAACCCACGCGGGATGTTGGGAGAACACGAGAAAAGCTTGTAAATCACGAGCCGTTCTGGAAACTAGTTCTAGATACGCTGCTTCTGAAATTTATTCCGATTTTATTTACTTATGTTGAAGGCTATGAAGTTCGTGGTTCTCCTTATTTTGCTGAATGAAAACTATTGCTCTTGCCAGCTTAATTCATTTATAGTGTTATGCATGCATGCATGCATTGAAGACTATATTGATGAGCTTAATGCTAACTCGAAAGAAATCCTTTACGTGCTTTTTTAACAACCCAAATTGATCATTCAAGCCCAGCTGTAGTCAGAACTGCGTCCTCCACAGACCGTGGAAAGCACTGAAAGCGCTTAAAACTTCTTCTAAACCCAAGCGTAAACCTGAATAGGCGAAAAAATTTTGGCCTTGAGAATTGAAAAAGATCAAGCATTTACATTCTGGTCCTGTTTTTCTGACAAATTTCTATGGATATGTTGAATTAAAAGAAATTCGTGTTATTGATATCTCAGCCAGTGAAAGCCGAAAATATCAATAAAGCTCATGTCTTCGCTAGTGTTCTGAGTTCTCTAGTTCTCACTTAGAGCTGAGTATTGTTGAGTATCGGAAACCATGTGTCTGCCGGTACAATAAACGATAGTTTTTTGGCCAATCAGAGCCGGCGCGCGAAGTATGTCAGTTAATTTATGTAACATTCAACTTCTGCACCAATTACATGTATTATAACCCAGCACACGCGGACAAAAACGAAATCAGCAAGTGTATATTATGCACTCTTACACGGGTATACCATCCTTTTCTCTTGTTTAGTCCTGTCCCAGGTTTCTAAAAACTTTACGTGTTTCGGAGTTTCGTAGTTAATTCATAGCTTTTAATAAGGAATTTCAATTTCTTTGAAGCCTGTGACAACAAAGACAGAGGATGGTACGTCGTGTTTACTCTCTGTCGTCCCATCTGTCGGTGAAAGACGGAAAACAGGTAGCACTGAGCTTGATGGTTAGAAAAAATAAGCTCCAATCCAGGGATGGTACCTGGGAACAAGGCCCTCTTTTCTCTCCACCTTTGTCCAACGTAAATGTAAATACGGTTTACTTATCAGCAACGTCAAATCCGTTTGTTGTGGTTTATGCTTTTGCTTTTTTCGGTTTTTGTTTTTGTTTGTTTTTGTTTGTTTGTTTGTTTTTGGTTTTTTTTTTTAATAATGACAGAAGCCTGGTGATTCCTCTACGTTAGTAATTTCAACTTTTGCAATTGATGTTAGATCTTTACAGGGTAATTGTTTAGCAGAGATATTTCCTGGCGTTTCGATCGGGGATGATTTATATGGAAAAAAAATATAGGAGCTTCAGTTAAGTGACCATATTCTTTTCAGTCTTTTCGACCAATCCCAGTTTTTCAGTTCGGATGAAGTAGTGTGCAATGCAGGCGCATTGCTGGGAAGCGCGAGTTACCGTTGCATGACCTCGTGATCGCTCACCGAGCCGCCATGTTTGATTTAGGGTGGGGCGGGGATTGGGTAGTGCGAGAGTATGTTTCTTTCCCTTTCCCCTCCCCGTCCCCCTCTCCCCATTTCTCTCGCCTGTCGTCCACTCCCTTGGTAGAAATTTTCTTTTCCCCCCACCCTCCACAATATTGGTCTGCTTCAAAAAATTCAAGATGTGACGGCCAAACATTTCGCGAAGAAATACTGAATTTCTACTAAAATAAGCCTGCACAGCAGGCCGCATGAGGGAAGGGGTGAAGGAACTTCCATTCAAAGAGAGGGAACAGTACAACAACAACAACAGAAAAAATAGCAACAAAACTCGCTTAAACACATTTATTGACATTTCAGTAGTCTGGACACACCTTGTCTTAACTGAGGATTTTTTTGGTGGTACAATACTGGGTTTACACTGGAAACAAGCGAGGAGATTGGAAAGAACAATGGCTCCATAAGCATGGAGAAGGGGATATCGGTTATTTTTGAAATAATTACAACAATAGCACATGGGATCAAAATCAGGACGAGCTCTCCCACAACCCAGCTGGTAGTTACTGTTAATTTGCGCTCAATAGCGGCAGTTATGTTAGCTGGATTATTCCCCGCTCCTGGTGTTGCCTCAGACCCGGCAATTTGGGCTACTAAGCTGTTATGCTTATGAAGAACATAAAGCGTCAAGACCTGAGCGGTGATAGTGAAACAAGAGCATATTATCACATAACCAGCCTCTACCCCTTCTATCGCGTCTCGTGGCACAACGCGCGTTATTTTCGCAGTGATAATAGAACTGGAGAGAAGCCACACGCCAATGCACACTAAACGGGCATGCCAGGGTTTTACAGAGGCCTTATACCACATCGCCTTAGCAATAGCCAAATAACGATCCAAGCTTATCACGGCAAGACTACCCACCGTGCCAAACAAACACAAGAAGAAGGATGCCACCGTAAGAGGGTCCTGCCAGTCGTCACGATTAGCGCAAAAGTAGCCATTAACAATCTCTTTAAACCTGAATTTCAGATACACTGGAGTAACCAGCGCTCCCCAGAGAAAATCAGTCAGTGTTAAGCTGCATAACAAGAGAAATCCCGGGCGGATTCGAATTCCACCCTTTAGGATCGCTATCAAGATCGACCCGTTTGACAGGACAGACCAGATCCCTAAAAGCGTAATTACTGGTGTGAACACAACATTAGTGAAATAAAAGTAATCGCGTTGGAATGTTTGGGGTATTCCAGGGACGAAGCAGCTTCTCCCGCCGTGTTGGTGTCCAGCGGTGTGATTCGAGATTCCAGCCACCATGAAAGACCCGTTTTTATTGGTCATTAGCCTGTGACAAAGACAATATAGTAGTTTTGTCAGCATAAAACACACTGTAATATCCTTCCCTATGTATATTATGATATTGAGATATGGGAAAACAATCAAGGCCTGAAAGAAATCCAGGACAACCAGAAATAAATGGTCTGTGCATTTCTTTTGTTTTTAACTCGTAAATACTGTGCACATTTTTTAAAATAATTTCTTCGACCCAATTGTAATTTTTCAACTTTTCTGAATTGCTTCGACAGTTTTTCCCTGAAGATTTTTCTTTTCATTTTGTATCTTGGTGGCGCATCTGTGAACCGGCTGTTATACGTACTGATCACTTTAAGTATTGTTTGATCGATCGACTGGTTTACCGACCGACCGACCGATTGCTTGATTGAAAGATGTCAAACTTGGATGGATTGAGCAGGTGGCATCTGATAGCCCTCCAGTTTCTTAGCAAGTATCGACGAGCGTCTTTCCTATTCGCACATATCAAATCCCCGAAAGTTGAACTCCATTTGGCAAACTCTTTGTTTTCCAACAAAAAACAAAACAGAAAAGAAAAAAATTCAATCATTACTTTTTTTTCATTCAACAAAATATTGTCATTCATAGTTTACCTGATTATTCTCAATCAATCGACCGAATATTCCGCCTGGGTAGTCCAGTATATGAAAGCTTTCTTCAACAAGAATGTTTCCCGGCTTTAAATAATAAAAGAGCAGGAATTTGAGGTTAATTTATAAATGAGTTAACTTATAAATATACGTATAAGTTGAAAGCAATTATATCTTGTTCAAAATAAATATAAATCGTGTAATATAAATGTGCAGGTTGTTGAATTTTGCTCCATTATTTGGTTAACCTCAGCCGGATGCTTTTAAGCATCACTCACAAATGCACCTTTCATTAACAAAAGAAGTCTGCATTTTCTTCCTTAGCTAAACTACTTCTTTCTGCATAATATCGGAAATGAATTAGACAACGTTAGACAACAAGATCTCCGAGCACAAAGACAAAAACGGAAAACTTTTCACAATTAAAGGTGGCATCTGGTGGATAAAATACTTGGTTATTCCAGCGCAAGTTCTTAACTCGATCTTTTTAC